TCCTCCTCCTGCTCCTCCTCTGCCTCCCAAATTGCTGGGATTACAGGCCTGAGCCACCACACCTAGCTATTTCTTCTTTTTTTTCCTCTTCCTCCCCCTCCTTCTTCATTTAATTTTATTTATTTATTTATTTTGATGTGGAGTCTTGTGCTGTTGTCCAGGATGGAGTGCAGTGGTGCCATCTCGGCTCACTGCAACCTCCATCTCCTGGGTTCAAGCCTCCCAAGTATCTGGGATTACCAGCGTCTGCCACCATGCCCAGTCAATTTTTGTACTTTTAGTAGAGACAGGGTTTCACCATGTTGGCTAGGCTGGTATCAAACTCCTGACCTCGTGATCTGTCCACCTCCACCTCCCATAGTGCTGGGATTACAGGCATGAGCCACTGCGCGCAGACCCCCTGGGTTTTTTTCTGTTTTTGTTTGTTTGTTTGTTTGTTTGTTTTCCATGAAATGGAGTTTCACTCTTGTTGCCCAGGCTGGAGTACAATGGCGTGATCTTCCCTCACTGCAACCTCCACCTCCCGGGTTCAAGCGATTCTCATGCCTTAGCCTCCTGAGTAGCTGGGATTACAGGCACTTGCCACCACGCCCGGCTAATTTCTATATTTTTACTCGAGACAAGGTTTCTCCATGTTGGCCAGGCTGGTCTTGAACTCCTGACCTCAGGTAATCTGCCCTTCTTGGCCTCCCACAGTGCTGGGATTACAGCTGTCAGCCACTGCGCTGGGCCTACAGCTCATTTCTTACCACAGAAATCTTTGCACCTCTCCACAAAATTGCCATCAGGGATGTCCCCAGAAACCATTCATCCCAGGTGCCATGCAGAGAAGAGCTTCTTGTTCTCCTTTTCCCTTTACCTCTTCCCTCTCACTCATCTTGTTCATTCACTCATCCCTTTTCCATTCTCACTTTTAAGCATTAACCTTTCAAAAGCCTGTCTTCCCCTATAAGTAATGTATTGTAACTCCCGCCATCACCATATCCTTCTCCAACCCACCAAACTGCCAAGGATGGTAAGTTAATAAACTAAGAAGAAATGGGAAACATTCATTGCAAACATTGCAGCCCCTCAGTCACCCAACGTGACATCACAGATCTTCTGGTCTTTGAAGACTCATTTTTTTTTTTTTTTTTTTAAGACAGGTGTCACTCTCTCACCCAGGTTCAGGTGCAGTGGTGCAATCACAGCTCACTGCAACCCCCAACTCCTGTGCTCAGGCGATCTGCCTGCCTCAGCCTCCCAAGCAGCTGGAACTATAGGAACACACCACCACACACAGCTAATGTGCTTATTTTTTGTAGAGATGGGGTCTTGCTCTGCTTAACAGGCTGGTCTCAAACTCCTGGCCTCAGGGATCCTCCCACCTTGGCATCCCAAAGCGCTGGGATTACGGGCATGAGTCACCATGCCCGGTCTGAAGACTTTAAATGCTGCCATATTCAAGATGTGTTGAAACTCACCTGTGTTTGATGAGCCTGCTTTTTGCAAGTGAGTAATATAAAACACACTGAAATACCTTCAGCTTCTCAGGCTTTGTACCTTCCTCTGGAATAATCAGTGTATCCCAAAAGTAAATCCATAATGAGGTCCAGTTTTTCCTTCATCCTTGGCTATGAAATAGACAAAGAAAAAGGCAAGCTAGCCATTTCCATCTCACTGTAGTAGACTCTCCTGTTTGCTTTTTGACTGTATTTGGGAAACGAGGGCCTGACTGCTTTCCTACTTCCTAAGCACAACTTCCTTTACCTAGGAAATCCTCAGCGCGACCTACATGGATTAAACCAGCTTTCTCACTTTGTTTCCAATATTTTTACAACCAAAATATCCAGAAAGGGCAAGGCAACCTGAAAAAATGAGGACGGGTACATTATCCCATGAGCCAAACTGCCACTTACACTGGTTAGTCATGAAATTGGCAAAATTCCAGATGAGCTCTCCAACCATGTATTTTCTGCATTTTTGATCCAGACCCAGATGGTACGGCTGTAGCAGACTGTTCTGGTCATCTTCACTGAACATCAGAGATGCATCCTGGAATTCAAGACAAAGAGAATTTAAGAATCAGAACTGGCAGAATTGCAAATGTTAGATAAAAAATAAAGATCCACTTGATGGTGATGAAAATATCTGACCTCACAGGGGGCTGTAGTGACTACAGGACTCATTGATGCTAGGGTAAAGACAGCCAGGGAATGATCTAACCCAGAAGAAAATGGAGGTTTAAAAAAAAAAACAACATGGCCAGGCGTGGTGGCTCACACCTGTAATCTCAGCACTTTGGGAAGTTTAGGCCAGGCAGATCACGAGGTCAAAGATCGAGACCATCCTGGCTAACA